AATTAATAGAATCTTGAGTAATGTTAGGTAAATCATAAAAAACACAAGCAGCTTGAAATGTATTGCAAACTGATACATATAAAGAATGCATACCACTAATAGATAAACAAGAAGACCATATGTACAGTCTCTGTTGACATTTATTGACTTTTCTTAATGAGAACAAATGTCTGAGACCCATCCTTTGTTGAGGAAAACCAGTTAGACTTCATGAGAACCTGTTTACTTCAACCATAGCAGCCTGCTACTGGTATACAAAGAAAGAATTTAGGTGGTCGATAGATGAAGGCATGATCAGAACGCTAAGCAAAAAGACTGTAAAGAGATTTGAGCATATGTGTTTGATATAAATATTAGAATTTTATAGAGACATCTAGATCAATATGCACCACACTTCATTTAGTTACTTGACAAGAGAACACCATGTATTCAGCTGAATGCTGAATAGAATTTTGTATTTATTATCTTTGATTTATTATGACAGACTAGTTAGAGTGAGTTTTTTCAAGTTCTTTATACTTGTTCCAATAAAATGGATATAATTTCTTTCAAAATAAATAGGCAAAAGATTTGCCTTTCGTATTGTGTCCTCTGAAGGGAGAACCATGCAGAGATCCTTTTTGAAGAATCCTATTCACAGTGGATCTGTTTTCATTTACAGTGCTATTTACATGGATTAAGAGTATGTTTTCAATTATCTCATGTCAGAATTCTAGATGTTTTAGCTTTTGCTTATTTAATTTTTTTCTTCCTGAAACTGTTTGTATCTGTGGTAGCTTTGGACCTTTTATCACCATCTTTGTTTACTTTATAAGAAGCTAGTGTATTTTTAGCAAATGCATCATTGTGTCAATACTTGAGTGGAAAAAAATTATATACTGTAGAGAATTTCAACTGTGTAGAATCACAGTTGAAATCAGCTGTGTAGAACTGTACTAATTTTTCATATTTGGTCACTGTAATTAATTTTGAGAATGATAAGTACATATGGGAGAGAAGGGATTAGTCTGGCTTTATTGGTTGATAGAATATGGCTCCTGATAAGCTTTTGATTCTCTGTAAAAGAGTCTTTTTTCAGCATCACAATCGTGTAATATGGATTCCCATTGGTATATTAAACCAGTTTCACCTCTGATACATGATACCAATGAGAACTATTACTTAACAGAAACCTTAGTCCTCCTGAATATTTATCAGCAACAAAAATGTCTAAATTCCTGAATCGTGGTTTTCAGTATTGTAAGGGAATTTCTAAAATTTGCTTTTAAAGAATGAAAAAAAAACCAGAAATCATAATAATTTAGCTGAATATGTATTACTTTTGAGGTTTTTCATAAACAAAAGCATAATGCAGAGGTTAGACATTTCTGTTGACCAAAAATTATTACTACAATATTTTCCTACCAACCAACTCTAGCTGAAAGCAAAAGATATCCAGTACGTTGGCTTTACTTAAACTCTCTGTGCGTGGAAAAAAAATGGGTGGTACATGGGAAGGGAATGGTTATTGGAAGAAACAGAGGAAGTTATAAATCTTCAAATCATATGCAGGACAGATTGGAACAATATAAGCTCTCCAAGTTTTCTTAAATAATGTACCTAATAACTCTCTCTGGGCAAGTAGGAAATCTGTTTTCGATTTCTTCTAAGCAAAAATATAATTTATGTTAAAAGGAGGTTTTTTGGTGGGAGTTTTGACGAAAAATTAATGCAAGTATCTCATCAGAAAATATTGTTTGAAAACCAGGAGTTTTTGTTGCAATCACTGCTCAGGACGCTGTCCTGCACTATATAAGAACAGCAAAGAAGAGAAGAATAGATCATGTCCAGCCCCAAATCAGAGTGCTAAAATGAAACTATGGTGCAGATGCCTTCTGACACTTCCAAAAGAATCAGTCCTGATGCTGAAATGCAAGAGTATTTGACAGCCAAATGTTTTATTTTCACTGGAGCAGATTGCTATGGAACCCTACTGAATGAGAATCATAACAGGATTGAATTACCGTACCAAATGCATCCGCTTTTAGCGGGAGGTTTTTGGAGTAGATAACCTCTGGAGGTCTTTTCCAACCTGAATTATCTTGTAATCTTATCATCCTATGAAAATTTCTTCTGCGATAGAGTAGTTTGGGTTGCACGCTCTATCTGGCTTGTAGTTCTTCTCTTCAGTTTACCCATATTTTTAAAATGTGGACTCTAATTAATGACAGAGAAGAACCCATATGAAGTGAAATCTCCCAGGAAGGAAGTAAATTTTCTGCCCAGGAATGCAGTGTAGCACAAGAGAATTCAGGAAGAGACCCTACTAAAGCTAATAGCACAGGATCTGTACAAAGCAGTTGCCTACAAGAAGAAATTATTTCTATTATTAAAAATAATGCATCAACTATGCAAATGGGAAGTTCAATTTCTTAATTAGTAATAGATGGAAACATTTGAAAAAAATAATACCCATAGTTTAAAATTAGTCATCTTAGAAGATGTGTACAGGCAGTACAAGGAAAACAAATGAATATTTTTAGCTGCTATTTATAATTTTCTTGGGCCTTTGTGGTTTTTGATGCTAGATAGGTTTACACTCGGGAAAAGTGCTGTATACCACTAGACAGCTAGAACTTCCCAATATGTTAGGGTAATGTAGTGTATGAAACACAGTCTGTTCAGAATTTAGATCCAGTAGACAACTCGGGTTTTAAATATCTCTTCCAAATCTGAACTTTCTTGAGGTTTTCCATTTACATGGGTATATTGGATGGAGATTCATCCATTTGGTGGGGAGTGAATCTTAGTGCTTCGAATCCTATTTTACCCTTCTGTGTTGAAGGTTATTATCCTGACCTAACTGTGAGTGCGATAACACATGCACACACAGCGCTGGCAGCTCAGGCAACTGACCACTAGGGAAACTGAGGAAGAGTGCTTCTGAAGGGGGGGATATAGGCATGGTTTTATCCGGTACAGAGGCTGCTGCAAACTCTGCCAAGCTGCAAAGATCGCAGAGGAAACCTCTTGAGGACACCTTGCACCAAAAAAGGATGAGCTAATATATTTTATGTCTTGTTTTCTGATACTGTGCTTAGCACCTCATAAAACAGGAAAGCTTTAACTTGGGGATTTTTGTGTTTTTAAGTGTTTACAGTCTGAGAACTCAGTGCTCTGTACAACTACTGCACCAAAAACTTAGGTTAAAATGGAGCAAAATCTTACTGAAGGCAAAGCAGACACTCTGGATAGCTAGTTTGGCAATAAAAGTTCACAGTACTGGGTCCTATGTTAAATACAAAACAGTATGATCAGAGTCTCACATAATCATATATTTCTTGCCTGTTAAAAAGAATGAAACCATTGAAGTTTTTGACTGCTGTATTTCTAAAATTACATCTGAGTCCTGATGATGTCACTAAGAACTCATGCAAAAGGAGTGTTTGAGTTTATCATATTGCTAAATAAAGCTTTAAAACTCTGTGCTACGCTATTTATAAAAGTGGTAATAGTAGAACAATATCATAAGGTGTGCTGAACTGGTATAATAGGTTATTGTGTTTTGCTTTTCTGGTGACCATCTGAACCACTGCAAAAGTAACAGTACACGATAGCGATATTATTCACTGCGTGATGCATATTCCTGATTTGTTCTTTGTTCTGCATAATTATCCCTTTTCCAATGAGTTCTATGCAATTTTCACACACATTTCATCAAGCATCAAATTATGAAGCAAGAACAGACTCCTATTATAGCCCATTACATATATAATCATTGCTGCCACCTATTATTTGTTGTTTCCAGCCAATGGGGTTTCTGCATTACTGAGTTTTCCACAGAACAATTATGAAGTAGGTGAGACTTGGATGGTCTGCTTCTTACCCTTGGAATTACTTTGCTTCACATTTGGCAGCTCAAGTGCCAAATGAGCGTGAAATTGTGTGTTTGTAGCATTCGGGCGTTGGCTATATGACTGTGAGGAAGCTGACTTTCTGTTAGTTCAGGAATTGTATCTATACCACCCCGTCCTGACTGTGAGCAACATGGTAATTGGAAGCGTTAGCAACAGGCATATTAAAAATCACCATCTGTCTTAAACCCATGACAGTAATGGAAGCTGGGGTTGAGTTTATTCCACAAAAGAAATTGTGAGACAATGTAGGATATTCTAATCACAGATTTTTGGACTTTGCTTTACAATAAGAAAGGAGCAAAGATCCCTTAAGTCAGGAAGAGTGCAATTTCCTAGGCCTTTCCTTCAGCCTCTCAGGATTTAAGATGTAGAATTCAAGAATGTGTATGTAGGCATACATTGTGCTTCCATCTTACATGGTCAGATACATCTATTAATGGAAACATGGAGCAGTAGAAACCTTTGTGACATCCCAGTAGTGCAAACTTTGATTTTCTAAGCAATCTATTGCAGTGCTGCAATAAATAATGATTTCTTATTGTAAAGTACTCTCCTTGTCAGAGTTTTGGTAGGAAAAAGATTTTTTTTTTTACTGCTTATGGCCTATAATTGGCAAGCTTTGCACTGCCTGCATTGGCATAAGTGTCTGCTTTCAACCATGGAAAAATATCGAATCATTTTAGGGAGATTCACTGTCTCCTTATGTCATAAACCAAAAGTTTCAACAGTAAATCGCAGTAGAGGAGATGAAGATGTGGAGAAAGATGTGTAAAATAAAGAAATATGACTTTGAAAGGTCCTGGTTAATACAGTGTATAAGCATATATATAAACAATGTCACCTATTGTTAAATGTGTAATACAACTTGACCAAATGGTTTGTTAATAGCAGTCGTTGCAAGTGAGATTGTATATGTATTTGCAATTGCAAAGCACCTTTTGGAACTGATGTTTTCCTTCTCTGACTTCAAGGAATAGGATCTAGAGAAACATCAAGAAGAGACTAATACTCTTTTTTGGCCAATAAGTTACAATATCCTTCTTTGCTTTCTTGCTTGCTTGTTTTATCTTCTTTGCAAGATTAACTCTGATTTTTCTGTAACAGGCACATAGTTGTCTGTGGTCACATAACACTTGAAAGTGTGTCCAACTTCCTGAAGGACTTCCTGCACAAGGATAGGGATGATGTCAACGTAGAAATCGTCTTTCTGCATAAGTGAGTAGCCTTTCAAGATTAGTCTTATCATCTGTTACTAAAACTCATTAAAATAAGCCGTATCTTTTTTGGGAAGAGAGAGGATCTTTCAAGCTCCAAATAACCATAAAATTAATGTTTGCAATTACTTTTGTTAACAATGTATTTTGAAAGGAGGGTTGTTTTCTGCAATTGTTTTATAACCCATTGCTAGGTGTAGGTGTTTCAAGCAGACAGACTTCGGACCCAATCACGTCAATTGTGAGGTAGATAGCTTAACACAATGGAATTATGAAATAAAAAATGTTGAAATACTAATAAATAGATGTGAGAATTTTCTTTAGTGGCAAATATTTCTAGTGAAACTACCAAAACCGGTAAAATCAGTAAAATTAGTGAAAAATACTGTATGTCATAAGAACTTATGCTATCTGAGAACACATTTTCACCGCTGATTTCATTAGTAAAAAAAGCTTATTTCATATTGCACACTATTTATAAAAAGAAAAATGTAGGTGCAGATGTAGTTTTAATATGAATGAGATACATTACGTTACAGATATAGTGAAGATAGAAAAGAAATTCTTGTCACGGCAATAATTAGTGCTGCTCTTTTACCCATATATACATACCTACACACACATGGTCTCTTGCATTTTTCTGATGTGGGATTTGGAAAGGTGTCTTAGGGTGGTTGCTGTTTATTGCAGGCTCTGCATGACATGTAATAAAACATCAAATGGGCGTGCCTATGGGAGAAGCTGCTAGAAATAGCCATGTGCTAGAGAGGGAGAGACAGCGTGAAAGGTCTTTTCTGCTCTGGAATGGCATCTGTTTAGAAGTGTTGCAAGTTATGAATGAGTAATGTTTTTGCATTTAGCAGCAAGTTCTGCACTTTTCTTCTTGTCAAAGCGATTAAAAAGTTAAAGAATCGTTTATGATGATTCAAAGGAAGCTGAAAAACTAAGAATCAGCAGCACTTGCACAATTTTTTTATCTAGTCCTTTCAAATTGAGTCCTATCAAACTAAAGATGATATCGTCAAGTAACTACATTGTTTGCTTGTTTCCCCTCTCCAAGTAATAACAAGAATTGACTGTCAGAGCAAAGCAGAGCGCCAGATTTCCACAGTGGAAATGCATGGTGATAGGATCGGGAAACTGCATGTGCACATGAAGGGAGATTAGCACCTGGCTACTTGTTCATGCCTGCTTTCTTCTGTACCTTCACAGACAAATGTTTGCCTGTATCTGTTTTATTTTCTTATTAAATTTAGCATCCGGCCTGACAAAGATCTCATGCGCTTACTATGTAGCTATTAAATCCCTTCTGTTTGAATGAGTGGTATCAGAAAAGGTATTTACAAGGTTGGTGCCACATTATGTAATAGGTTGTGATCCATTTAATTTTTTCTGTTTATGGCAAAGAGAAATGAGACGGAAAGTCACAGCATAATTACGTTTGTTTTAATTGTAGCTCATACAGGCCACAGGGTCCCTATAGGGTTCCTTTTCTGGCTTTTAGCGATTTTGCATTGAGCTCTCTTATCCGATGCAGTCGGCTGTTTTGAGAATGGTGGGGACATGCAGAGGATGATTGTTTCACTAGACGATTTCTGTGGAGGATGCCGTCTGAGCATGTTTTCAAATGGGTGCACCAATTCCTCTGGATTCACG